AGACGCGTGCCCAACCACTCCCAGTTTCTCGAGGGCCACTTCAACATGCCATCCGCGGCCACGCAGCAGGGGGCCTCCATGGGTGACATCCCCTCGGGTAATTGCAACACACCAATAGCAAACTACTTTCAGTCGCTTCACAGTCATGTGAAGGCAACTGTCATCATCACCTCCCTCTCTCTCTCACACACACACACAACACAACACTCAGTCGACACCCTCGGGTACAAATGGACGCAGTCAATACCAGCTCTGGCTTCGCCAACTGGCCACTGCTGCCTGAGACAACAACTGAGGATTGTGTGCATCATAAAACTCTCACTATGGTGACTCTTGCCTTTCACCTTAAACCTGAAAGATTCGACCAGATGATCACCACAGAATTACCGCTAAACGGACGCAGGCAACTCGCCTGTATGTGAGTGGGACCGCGGGTAGATCCGACCAGATGTCCCACGTCTCAGAACATATTCCATTCCCGTTGCACGAGCCAATCATGAACACTGGGGAGATGATGCACAGAGCAGAAGCTGACCAAGCATCCTATACAGATATATGCAGTATGGCAACTCCTGCAGGCAACTTTCATGATGAAATTTAACTTGATAGTTTGGCATATATTTGGACAGGTTGTTTTGGTCAATTGAGTAGAGTTAATAATTAGAAAGGCTTTAGTTTGGAAAACACCCCTCTTAGTTAAAGTTATGGAACGAGATAGGCACTAATTTTGGCTAACTCATGGGTAGGTTTATATCGAAGAAATTTCCCATGCTACAAGGTATGACAGAACCAAACTTTTTATTAATATGCACTGTGCTGTGGAAGAATTCCAGAATAAGTAGAAAAAATTGGAAGAATGATCCCTTCAAGAACTGGAAAATTTTGTCTGAAGTTGCTCAAATGGAAGTGAAGCCAAGTTTAAGGAATCGCATTTGTTTTCAGAAGCAAGCGACAACTTAAGTTTTAAAAATGATGTTTATCTAAAGCGTTAAGTTTTTTTTGCACAAAATGCAGTAACAAAAAGTTTCCGTCACATTTTGTTTTACCGCACGACTCATCTTGGCGAATAAGCAAAGTGTCCGCATATGTTACCGCGAAGGTAATGTTAAGAAGGCCTTATTGAAGGTAAGTCATGTAGAAATATACTTTTTTGTATACTATACGTTCCGCTTATGCGTTATTTAGAAACGGAACAGACAGAAGAATAATTAGTATCTCAAAAAATGGCCATATATGGCCAGTCTTGTTTGCATTCGCAAGATTATAACAGATCGTGCAATTAATCCACTCATGCGGAAAATAATCCATTATAAAGAATATAGTAAGTTCTTTCATCTCCAGTCAAATTGAATAGTCTATCTTCAGGTAAGTTAAAGAAATCGTCAAAAGTGTCCAATTTAATTGTGACATTACCTTGGAAAAAAGTTAATATGCACAGAAATTCGTCACCTGAATATCCAATTAAAACACTTTAAAGAGGTAACCTATTATGGAAAGTTTTTTTTATTAATATCCGAGTTATATTGCGGACGTTCAGTATGCTCGACAGTGTGGGTTGCTGTTTTGAGGCATTTCTAAATATGACCCACATGGCCATCTTCATAATAACTAATATCCAAAAACTCAGTTTTTCGGCAAATGCTCTTTATTTATTTCTTATTTTAAAGGCTTTGGTGTAAACGTCGAACGGAAGCGCAATTAATCCACGAAGACACTGCAAGCGATCGAAATGATGTCAGACTTTATTGGACGATATTCAATAAAGAGTTATCCACTAATGGTAATATGTACGAAATATTTTGACTAAAGAAAAGTTCTTTTTATATAAATAAATTGGTTACATTCCACTTTCACCTTACGAAGAGATTTACATTTATTGTCCTAATTTATAGCTATTTTTTACGTCCTCGGAAATTGGACAATATCGGGGAAATTTCATTTTTCTTAAAAAACGGTTTGGTCATTATTATTTCTAAGTTTTCGTAAATGCGTTCACGCCGGTATGCGAGTAATGATCAAGCTTGTAGAAACTTAGGCATGTTGCATGCAGCACTGGCCATACTGTAGGTACCACAGCAGGCCGCAAGTTGAAATACCCCGACCACACAGGCTGGGTCGGCGAAATGGGTAGAGAAATAAGAGGGAGGTTGGGAGGCGAAACGGAAGGGGTCGGAACTAACCTGTGCAGTGATGGTTATCAGCTTGACAAACTGTGTCAACATCTTGAAGGGAAAGACGCCCTTCTGGTGCCATCGCTCCCAGGGC